GAAATAGTCTTGTTGGATGTCCAAAATCCTTACAGTGTCATATTATAATACCAGAGTGACTGGTCAAAAGCTCTAAGTGAGAGAATTTTTTTTTTTTGTTGGATAGAAAGTTTTAACTCTAAATATGTAAGTACCAACACAGATGAACTTTCATGATAACTGACCAGACTGTTGAAGCAGTGTATGAGGAACACCAGCAGGACGGTCTGTTCTCTCAGGGTCATGCCCTCCTGCTGCAGGCTGGCTGACATCACTCGCCGGAAAAACATGGGGAAGTGGTCAGGCTGCTTCACAAAGGGCTGGAAATACATGACCAACACCTCAATTAACAAGTTAACTTATCTATCTGTATTTGTAAGTGGTGTCTGCGTTGTGTAGTGGTAGAGCTGTCAAGCAAGGGGACCTACATGTAGGTTCAATCCCCGGGGTTGGACCCTGACATGTCCAGACATGCACCCAGACGTTGTGCCCTTGGGAAAGGCACTTTACACGTATTTCCCCTCTCAGTTAGAGGGATATATATAAAAACATATATACAACAAGGTAATATACTCAACATAAAATAATGATTATACATAGGGATACAAGGAAAGCAATTACAAATACTGTCATGTAGCCAACAATAGGAACTCGAAATCATAATCATAATACAATATGCAGGCGTGCGAAGTTAGCAGCATATGAATTAATGCATGTGTACAAACATATGTGCATCAAGTAACCTCGTGTGTACCAATTCTCATATCCATGTCTGTATAATATACATGTAGTACACATGTACCTGTTACAGTAGAAAGACATATTGAAACACTATGCTGTACATGTACATGACATACAAAAAATGTATAGAAGGTAGCCTCCTTTGCAGACTTCTTGGAGTGACAGTGCTGATTAGATGTGTGATTGTTTGCATGGGTGAAGGTTTTTTAATGTGTCAGAAGAGTTACAATGTAAATGTATGCTGTGGAGGGAGTTTTACCACATGGCATAGTTAAGTCAGTGCCCCCCTCCCCCTCACCAAAATAAACGTTGCCACTCCAAGAAAAGCATGAAGAAGCAGGGCTCGAAATTAAAGGTGGTCCACTGGCCACTAAACTTTAGGCTGGGACAACTAAAAAGAAACTCTGGGACATTTTTGGGACAATCCAAAAATAATCAACATCAAAATGTCAGCTCTTCTTTTGCCTATCAGGCACACGTCCCAGCTTTTGGATCCGGAAAAGTCCCCGAATTTACATCTACTCTGCAATTATAGTGCACCTGGGAGTGAACATAAGCAAACTAAAGTTGACTTCAAGTTAAAGTCATACAACACTTTCCAAAAAAACAGGTTGGGACAGTTCATCCTCACTTTGGGACAATCAATGAAATTAATTTTGGGGACAGTGCTGAGACAATAGGAAGAAATGTTCATTTCGAGGCCTGAAGAAGGCTATACTATATATATATAGAAGACTACATTGTAGGTTGTAAAAACTGACCTCCCATGCTGGAACCTTCTCCCTGAACTTTTCGTTGACCATGACGGCTACAGACATCATGTGTGCGTGGGTGGCCTTGTCTGGGTCATAGTTTGGCCACAGGAAGTTTTCCAGGTACTGACTGAACTCCAGAAGCATCACCCTTCTGATAGCAAACCTATGTGGGGTGGGGACACATTTGACATGTTATCTAGTAGTAGTACACATTCTGCACAAAACACTAGATTACATCATTAACTAAATCAGTAAATGTTATATACATGCATGTGTTGATTAATTTCACAATTATTGTTCAAGGTATACAAAGCACGGCATCTGATAATTTGCTCTTAAAGTCTATTGAGATAAATCCTGGTATAGAAGTCAAGATAGCCTTGTATATAGCTGTGAATTACTTAAATTAGAATATTTGAGACGTTATCCTATAATCAAGACGTGATAATTGTCTTCAATCGGACAGAAGGGCAAACCCTCTGGTCGATGGGAATTTTTTTTAATCTCCCAGTTTCTACATGTACATGTACATGAAAGCCAATTCTGAGTTTTGTGATTGCCCTACATGTAGGTACAAGACTCTTAATTAATACATGTAAAAGGTAATTTTCATGCTCGTAATGCTTTTTCAAAGTAGAAAGAAAGGAAAGTTTAGAATTGTTTCAAACAGTACAAACAATGCTAATATTGTATACCTGCAACATTATGAATTTCAGTTACCAAATCAGTCCATTATTACTGTCTGAAAAAGCCCAGAAGTCCAAAAATGTAACAATACTGCTAAAAACAATTGCAATATTTTGATAAAGAACATACTTGGTACCCAGTAGATCCTTCTTGTAGATGTCTTCAACAACCTAGAGGGCAAAAAGAAGTAATTTAAATAATCTCAAGTCAGAGTTTACAGTTTAAGTAATCGCAACAAGAGTTTAGAGATTCGTCGATGAAGGTTAGACATCCAGGTAATACGATATGCCAAAAAAAAAGTTACTCAAGCAACTGGATATGATTTTGAAAACGTCAGACGTTTCAGCTAGTATCCACTAGCTTTCGTCAGTGACTGAGAGACCAGAGGGGAAAGCAGGTATATATACACAACACTTGGTGCAGATTGAAAAAGAGGGTAGCTGCTGACTTCTTTGACCACATCAACCAGATAGATGACAACATCAAGTTCACACAGGAGCCAAGCCATGACAACATGCTCCCTTTCCTAGACACCAAAACTATCGTAGAGGAAGATGGTAACCTTCGTTTCGAAGTGTACAGGAAACCAACCCACACTGATCAGTACCTGGCTTTTGATTCCCACCACCCTTTGGAACACAAACTAGCAGTGATCAAAACTCTCTTCCATCGTGCAGACAACATTGTCACTTCAGACCAAGCCAAAACGGACGAACAAAGACACCTCCGAGGTGCCCTGGCTAAATGTGGCTACCAAAACTGGACTTTCAACAAAGCGCTCAAACCTTCAGATCAGTCTAAGAAAACCCAGAAGTGCAAACCATTGACCAACAAAAACAAGGCCAACATCACTATTCCGTATGTCCAAGGAGTATCTGAGAAACTCCGACGGATCTTCCAAAACTTCAACATAGCCACTAACTTCAAACCTCACTCAACCCTCAGACAAAGACTGGTACACCCTAAGGACCGACCTCACAAGGGTACCAAGGCGAATGTTATTTACAGACTCAAATGTGAGGAGCCCAATTGTAACAACACCTACATCGGAGAGACAAGTCGACCGCTTAAAGTAAGGTACAAAGAACATTGCCGACCTAGTGCCAACGGCTACTCCTCAGCTATTTTCCACCACCTACAACACAACCAGGGTCACTCTTTCAAACTCGAGTCCACGGATGTCTTAGACCGCGAAACACGCTGGTGGGAACGGGGTGTTAAAGAGGCAATATATGAAAGAATGTACAACCCCACCCTCAACAGGGAAGGGGGGCTACGGGTCGATCTTTCCGGCACTTGGGATTTGGCACTCCCAGCCCCGAGGACAGACAACACTTAAGCTCCTGTCCGGTATAACAGGAGCTTTCAGACTAATTTGCATCATCTTGTCTTGACTTGTCTGACTTTTGTTCCTTTTTCGACTTCCAAAAATTTGTCTTCACTTTATTTGCATATCAATGAACAGGTTGTGTATATACCTGCTTTCCCCTCTGGTCTCTCAGTCACTGACGAAAGCTAGTGGATACTAGCTGAAACGTCTGACGTTTTCAAAATCATATCCAGTTGCTTGAGTAACTTTTTTTTGGCAGTTTAGAGATTATTCTTCTTGACTGCAGAGACTATACGCTATGTCTCATGCATGAAAGGATGTCTAAATGTTTGGGCAACACTTCCAAATAGATTCTTTCATGAAAACCCGAGCTAAAACAATCTACGATCAACCGAAAGGGCATATGTACAGGTATACAGTTGGTTATGAACAGCAATTCCCTTGCAGAAAAAATTGAAGTCTCAGTCGCAGCTGAACAATTTATTGATAGCTAGTTCATTTTTGGCAACGTCTCAGGGAGGAGCCTTGTGTTCAGTTTGCAAGAATTCTAGGAATGGTACAGGCATTTTGTCCACAGGAATGGAATGTCCACAGGCATGTCATTCCTGGAAACCCTTGGGAAGACCTGTCTTCCCCCCCCCCCATGGCCCTACTTTCTGTGACCCCGGGGATCATTCACTATACACTCAGGGGAGGAGTGCACTGTATCTGTCTAGACTTAACAGGTACCACTTTTAGTCTTCCTCAAAATCATGAAATGATAGCAGTGCTATGCAAACAATAACCCTAACAGCAACCACCGTCGCCATGGCAATGTATGTTTTCATTGCCAGTCTTGTTCTACATGTATTGTTATCTATTCTGGCTACCATTATAATATCAATGTATTAGCAATGATACAGTCTAACAGAGGGAAGGTCCCATACCTGTGAGTCGAATGTTGGAGTTGGACCTGTGCGATGTGGTGCCCATAACTTGTTAGCAAACTGTAGAAACAGTCGAGGAAAACAGTTTGGTCCAATGTTGAATACAACAAGAGAGAATGTACAAATTACTACAATGTAGTCACTACATACATGTTCCTGTTTTTGCCATACATAAACAGTTCTTGTCTGTACCATGCTTTGATATTACATGTAGTACAGCTTTGTTTTTTTTTTCTAAGTCATTGATTTTGACATACACAATTTTGATTTGATTTTTTATTAATTCTGAATATACATGTACATCAAAATTAAAATTAAAAACTATTACAAACTAGTATAAATACATGTGGTGGTTAGGGCAGAAAACAGGGTAGTTTCTCGAGAGCCTCCCCCATAACGTATTAATATCTATCAATAAACTATATTATATATAACTAATCATCTAGGTAAACAAAAACAATTATACAATGTATACAATGATATGTATCACAACTTAATACAATAATGTAGATTAAAATAGCAGGTTACTATATTAATTATAATACTGTATAATACTGTACAGTATTATAATAGCAACCTGTTGACCAGCTTTTGAATAAGAAAGTTTTATAAAACAATCTCAGTCTAGTATGAATAAACTATTGTGTACTTTGTGGCTGGTTAACAAATTACTGGTATTAAATTTTAAAATAATGTATCTGTACCTGAGTAAGCCTGTCTCCCTGTATCTGTTCCACAGTGATGGCAGCTCCCTTTCTTCCACGTGCACTCATGGTTGCTTCTCAACTGCTCTGTCTACTTCTTCCCAAGAAAGATTGTATTTACAATTTTGCAACTAACTAAATCTTATGGCATCTGGTCAAATAATTTGTACTCTCCAACTTAGAGTCCAAGCAGAAATTGTTGGGGAAAATTGTGACCTTCTTGCTATATATGCCCCATATATTATCTGCCAAAACGGGGCGTATGGTAAGGCCACACCAAGTAAATTTCATGGATGACGTCCGCGCGCGCATTGATTTTGGCCTCTTCCTAGAAAAAAAAACTAGAAATTTTGCTTCCTGTAACTATGACCAAAGTCACGGCAGTGTCGCAAATCGTCAGATTGACGTGAAACCCGTAACGCGAGGTGTCGGAACAGAACAGAAAATTTTTCACTGTCCGCTGTTCCACCTGATTTATTGCTGTTTTGATGATGAATAAAAGACTTCTTGCTTGTTACACTGTGTCACCTCATTCAATTTGTGTCCTAACATTTGTCGTCTCTTAGTACATTTCTAATCTAGGCATCTTGTTTTTAGGGCCCTTCTTGTTTTTTTTTCGCCCTCTCGCATTAGATTTAGGGTCTCCAAAGGACGTCATCCATAAAATTTACTTGGTGTGGCCTAAGAAAATAACACACATAATTTTTTCCACAACAACTTTGGAGAGTAGTCAAATTGCTCCAACTACATATTATGAGTGTATCAAAAACGAAAAATTACAAGAACGAAACTTCAACAATCAACATACTATATCCCAGTATGGGTATTCGGACTTAGCTGCCCTGCCCGGTCCACCTAAACCGCTGCCCGGTCCGGTCTGAGGCCGCTAATGGGGGTTTTGCGTATCCCATGCGCCGGAGCAAGCATTTCGCTTTTTCTGCGTGCGGTTGCGCCCCCTAGCGCCCCCTAGCGGAAAGCACCGGAAATGCAACAGTACACACAGTTCACCCAATAAAATCTACTCCTTGTCAGCATCAAGTGCGTCCCAATTATGTTTTTTTTCACCAACTATTTACCCACTGATATTTCCACTGCGGAGTACTTAGTATGTCAATATGAGTTTGCCTTGAGAAGGATATTTACTTCCATTTAACAAAACAATTTTAGCATTTAGCAAAATTGCTCCACTTTCCAAGCAGAGATTTGTTTCTGGGGAAGATCGTCATATTTTTATAACTTATATATACATATATGCCGCTATGCCGCTAGTCGCAACCTGAAAGGACAAGGGGAGGAGTACAGTCAGCCTTCTCAAAACAAGCCGGCTACCGGTGAAAATCGCCGCCTACTCAAATTTTTGCGCCGGCTACTTTCGTGTAAATTTTCAGAAAAACAATGTAGTCTCCGTTACATTTTCTCTCAAATTCCACCGGCTCATTTCTTCCAACGAACTTCAGACAAATTTCTGCTAGCTTTCTGGATCTGAAAACTGCTTCTTTCTTATCTTCTTGTGCAGATTTTTAGTGCACGAGTCAGCGTTTGCTTCTACGAGCGGCCAGAGCGGCCGAAACTTTACGGGGGGAGGGTCTTGTTCGGGGCTCGAATTATTGTATCCGCGGAGCTGTATCGCTCGAGCTAGGCGGAACTTGCTTCCTAAACTCGTTGCTCACGAAAATTTATCAAGCCGCTACCTTCCCAACTTCTCCCGGCACTAGTAACATTCCTGCTACAAATAACTAGTAAAAATCACGTAAAAAAATATCAAGACATGTACAGAAGCGTGTTCATATCTCAATAGTTAACGATAAGTGACTATAAAACAAGCGACGGGCGTTTTGTCCGTCACCGTCTTTGTTTCAAAACCCGTCTCCGTCTTTGTTTTAAGCCCGTCTCCGTCTTCGTTTGTAAGCCCGTCTCCGTCTTCGTTTGTAAGCCCGTCTCCGTCTTTGTTTCAAAGCCCGTCTTCGTTTGTAAGCCCGTCTCCGTCTTCGTTTCAAAGCCCGTCTCCGTCTTCGTTTGTAAGCCCGTCTCCGTCTTCGTTTGTAAGCCCGTCTCCGTCTTTGTTTCAAAGCCCGTCTTCGTTTGTAAGCCCGTCTCCGTCTTCGTTTCAAAGCCCGTCTCCGTCTTCGTTTGTAAGCCCGTCTCCGTCTCCCGAAAATATTTGGCAAAAAAATTATGTCTCCGTGTTTTGTAATGTAATAGAGTAGGCAAAAATGTGTGTAACAGGACACGGCATTGAATTTCAGATATTGCCCCTCCCCCGCACATGAAATGGTACAGTCCGCCTGTGGTGCCCGCCTCTCGTGCCCTACTCCAATACTCGCGTCGTACGAAATCGGAGACGGGCTTAAAACAGAAACGGAGACGGGCTTTGAAACGAAGACGGAGACGGGCTTACAAACGAAGACGGAGACGGGCTTACAAACGAAGACGGAGACGGGCTTAAAACAAAGACGGAGACGGGTTTTGAAACAAAGACGGTGACGGACAAAACGCCCGTCGCTTGTTTTATAGTCACTTATCGTTAACTAAGTTATTGATGTAAGAACGTCACACTTTTCTAGAAATAGTCACACATTCCGCAAAACATGTGACGTATTTGTGATACGTCGAACGTCACGTCTTTTATGTCACATGTGACGTGAATTAAGGAAACATGTCACGTATTTAGCCTCCGTATTTTTGACACAGATATATTGCCATAATATCTTTCATACACAGAGACAAATTTTCAAAAACAAATCGCCATCAGCGAGATTTCACAGCTGTTTCATTCATGAAAAGTTCTTGTCGATCGTAAAATGATCACTCATCTGTTGTCTCCACTAGTGTGTCATTTGTAGCATAATCACGGCGAGCCAAAAATCAGCGTCAAAACTAAGAAAACCCCGGAATAAAAAACGCACACTCCGCATTGCTGTACAGAAACGTTAACAGGAGATTTCAGGCGCCATCTTGTCATGAATAAGTAAGTAGCACTGTGCGATCTACGCTCTGATTGGTTCACCTCACATGACCTGCGTTCTGATTGGATAAGCGATGTGGCTAGCAGCACGCAGCGCGGGAATATTTTTCTTCGTCGGTGACACATTTACGCTGCTTTCTACGTTTTTTCTACGACTATTTAGCAACATCCTATTAAAGAAATGCATAATGAAAAGAATTTTCGGGAAGATATATATTTCTCTACACCGATTTTTGGTCTTTTTCTCGTAATATTCTTGTTCAAGGAACCCGGAAGTCAGTGTACCGGGACGCGGGGTGAATTTCCATAGGGCATTTTTGGACCGCACCCCGCTAGAACTAAACCGTCAAAACAAAAACAAAACTTCCAAAAAGCGAACCTGTGACATTTTTTCACATCCCAATGATTATGTTTTCGATCAAATTGACATCTAAATATGCTTTCTTTATTTTTCTGTATTGTTGTGGCCGGGCGCAAGGACCGCTGTTTCTAGCTGTTTTTAACATTTTACGGCCTCAAAGCTCATACCACAAGGGAAAGAATGTTATGCTTGTCATTTTCATTCGTATCACTTCTTCTGGCAACGAATCATTTTCCCGCCGCACTGCCGATACTAGCGTGCACGTTGTTTTTTTTTAATTTGGTGATCGTCCCGCTTTGCTTGACGATGTAAACAGAGCTAGAGGTAGTCGAAGTTATTTACATTACATGAAAATTGCGTTGTAAAACACCAGTGGGATGTCTGATTTTCTACCATTGACAATGTTTTCTTTGTGGCGTCATAGCGAGATCGACAATTCATCGACTGTGCAGACAATAGGGACCAATTTATTAATAGCAGCTCAATCGATCCACGCCGCTCGGCCGAAGAAAAAGCGAATGACTAGCAAATCTACCGGGGAAATATGGGAGTTAATTCCCTAATTTGGAAAATTGGTGGCGCTGAGATAAGGACTGGGTGGCGCAGCGCCACTTCCCCATCGTGGAGGTCCCTGCAGCGCGCGGGGTATGTTTTTAATGATTACCACCAATAGTCTTACAAGCAATGCAAAAAGAATTATACATTTATACCACGTGGCACTGAGGTAAATATAATTATACGGGTTACAAAATTGTAATTGCAAATAGTTGGTGAAAAAAAAAACATAATTGGGACGCACTTGATGCTGACAAGGAGTAGATTTTATTGTGTGTACTGTTGCATTTCCGGTGCTTTCCGCTAGGGGGCGCAACCGCACTCAGAAAAAGAGAAATGCTTGGATACGCAAAACCCCCATTAGCGGCCTCGGACCGGACCGGGCAGCGGTTTAGGTGGACCGGGCAGGGCAGCTAAGTCCGAATACCCATCCCAGTATAGCAAATAAAAAATCTTCTTTAACAAAGTTTTATAAAATATCTACTAGTAACATTAGCCGCGGCGACTGTTGCAGGGCTTCTTTTGCTTGCAGTCTTTTACATTAGCCCTAACGTTAAAGGGCTAATGTAAAAGACTGCAAGCAAAAGAAGCCCTGCAACAGTCGCCGCGGCTAAGTAGTAACATCTAATATTTTCGTTAGCATGCGCATGCATGGTCTCTAGGTGTTGGGGTTTAGACGTTGGTTTACTTGAGACTATGAACAAGGGAAATGTCAAGCAATGTCAGGGACTTGTCAATAGAGATGTAACAAGTTGCTAGACTAGATTTTTAACCTCCTTGTCAAGAGTAAAGTTCCAAAATAGTGGCGCACACACACACAACAAAGTGATGGGGGAGGGGGGCACTCAACATTATTTGATCGTGAGCGTTTTAACAAAATATACACAATTGGAACACTGGCGAAAATTTTACACACAGGACTTCACAAACAATGTTTACCTCCGAGAATCCTAGAAAGTGTTGATCTTCGGCTGGTGCGACATAGAAAGTACTACAAACACTTCGCACGCACGTCGCCCCGACGCTTCAAAACCATGCCGGTGCCGGGCAAAGGTCATGGAGCGTGCGCACGTCTATTCCTCTTCAGGCGGGAAATTTGAACCTCAGTAAGATAACATTCACCAGTTTCCCATCCCCAGAATGCAATGCGAAAACATGGGGGCTAACCCTCATTTGCATAGGACAGGAAGGCATCGAAATGATCCTGGTAACGTTAAACAACTGGCTTTTCACTGTGTTTTGAGGTGTTGGGGCATTTTATGCTCAACATTAATTAAATTACTATGGGCCGAATCTGACAACAAATAGAGAATGAAGTTTTTGTGTTCTTTTCAACATGGAACATGTGGTTTGTAACGTTACAGCATCAGTGTAGCGTTACCACTATAACGTTAACGTTACAAACCACATATTCCAAAAAAATCATTCTCTATTTGTTGTCAGATTTGGCCCATAGTAATTAATTAACATTGAGCATAAAATGCCCCAAAACCTCAAAACACACTGAAAAACAAGCTTAAACAGGATCTTTCCGATGCCTTCCTGTCCTATGCAAATGAGGGTTAGCCCCCTGTTTTCGCATTGCATTCTGGGGATGGTAAGAGATTTGTAGATAAGAAGCCTCAATGCATAACAAACAGTAAAAGAATACGGTGCAAAGAACAGACGCACTTAAATTTGTAGTGTTTTTATTATGTACGTGTCTTAAAAAGTTTCTTGAATGAAATAAAATGAATGAAATCACTCTCATTTCTGATATTTTCATATTTTTTCAGCTTCGAGATGAGTTTGGCAGGTGCTGCTTGGTTTAATTGTTCTCATTTGAGGTTCTTCTTGAAACGTCACCAACGTCTGTGTCTGCCTCTGCGTCCACAGGATTTTCATAGTGGACCAGGGCAAAAATAGCCTGGTTACCAGACCAATTTTAGCTCCCGAGTCTATATCTATTTGCTGAGAGGATATAGATTCGGGATCTACAATAGCGGTCTGGTAACCAGGCTAGCACAAAGAAGCTTAAGTAATCCCGTAACAAAAAACAAACAAACAAAAAACGTCCTAATATAAACCAGAGTGTATAATGGACGGAAGTTTTCTTGTTAAGTATGTAAACTGACTTTTTCTAGTGGTATAGAAACTGTAGGAAAAATACCTTGGCAAGAAATCGAAGATCACAGTGTTTTCCTCGGTACTGCAGCAGAACGTCTTGAATTTGTTTTGGATTTGCTACATTGTCCTTGTGTCTTTCGTCGTAAATAACCTTAGACGCTGGGAAGAAATTATGCAGGTCTCTGGTCGCTAAACTCAGCAATTTCCGCGGAGGTAGTAAGCTGAAGTAGCCTTAACCTCTGCTTCGAGAGTATATGAGCGTATTGTTTCACCCTCGTTACAACAAGATGAGCCGCAAGACTTATGCCAGACATGCAACACAGCAGTTTCACCATGTCTTTCCTGAGCAACCGTTACACGTGCTCCACCTTGCGGAGGGTCCCATCACCTGCAGGAAGCTCATCAGCGCACGATACTACGTAACGGCACCATGGCAACCTGTCACCATGGCAACCTGTCACCATGGCAACCTGTCACCATGGCAACCACGAGGCCAGAGTGTTTGTGATAAAGATGGCGGTTCTTCTCTTTCTACAATGTGCTAACGTAAACAATAGCCTGGGTTGTAAAATAAAACTCCGGGCTTATCATCGGTTTACAGCAACTGCAAAGTTCTAGCTACAAGTAGAAGCCCTGCATGGTGGAAATAAGATGCTGGTCACCTGGTGTACTCTTGTTTTGAATGACTGGAGATTGTTGTCAGTGATCAGGCCGACCACGACTGTTCCCGTCTGCGGGACACGCTAGCGACTCTCCAAGCAGAGGTTGTGGGGGAATGATCGTGTTAGCTTTTTTTTATATAAGGCCGTTGTTTTTTTGTTTTTTTGTCGTTACCCCACCAACCCCCACCCCGTCGGTAGCCGGTGACTCTGGCTAATGGATACTGTCTTGCCACTGAAAGGGATCTGCTTGGAGATTAACGCTAGCCTCCTTTGCAGACGTTCCGAGAGTCCTAGTACGCCTTCCAGGGAAGAAACAGTATGCGACAGTAATAGGAGTACATGTAGATGTCCATTCAATTCGATCAATAACCTAATCTAAGCCAGGCCACATTAAGTAATTTTTTATCGATGATAAGAAGAACTTTATTGACACAACAAAAGTACGGCGACTTTCGTAAGACATGTAGATATACAGACAAATATACATGGGTACAACGAAATTATTCTACGTACAAAACAATTAATGGGTCAACTAATACTAATTGTTCTAAGGTCTAAACATTCTTCGATATATTTACCTATTTGTACACAGTAAGGGTTATTACCTTCTAGGATGATATCATGCAGCGTGCGCATTAATTTTCGCCTGATTTTGAAAAAAAAAATTTTTCTTGCCTTCTGGTAGTGGTCAACATGCCGAAAATGGGCAAAGATGTCTGTTCTTCTTTTTTCTTCTTTCTGTAAGGTGACCACCTTCGTCGTATCGAAGATTTTGTCACCGTAACGGATTTACTGCGCAAGGGGGTTGGGGTGGGGTGATGAGGAGGTGGAGATTACGAGGCTTATATCATGGACTTAAAGTCCTCCAGATTGATGCAGAGGGCAACGTCCGCTCGCAGGTTGTTCCACTCCAGGAGCGCGCGTGGCAAGAAAGCTGTTTTCGCATATTTTTCGAATATTTTTCGCATTTCTTATTACACAATGCTTTGAAGATAACAAGTAATGTTCAATAACAAATAGCTTTCTCTTTCTGTTACTGGTGGTTTTGATAGATGTGCTTCATAGGACTATAGCTCTGTCTGACTCAAGTTTTTGAATCTTTAAGTTTTCTCAGTCTTTGTAAGCTGTTCTGTGTGGAAACAATGTCAGGGTGTGTTGGATCTTCACATATGAGATTCAACATGTCAAGTGCCCTTTCGTTGCAGTGGATAGCCGTTTTGTAATCGTTCAGAATTTCCCAGCAGATCCCAAGCTTGACGAGTATTTCAGCAACCCTCATTTGCGGCCTGTCGCCATGAACAATCTTTAACATTTCCAAGGTTTCTTCAAAATACTTGACTGCATTTGCGTGGTCTCTACGCTTGAGCCAAACGCCTGCGATGATTTCACTGGTGGTGGCGACAGTTGGATGTGCCATGTCTCCGAACAGGCGTTGTTTCATCTCTAGTGACCTCTCGAGGAAGTCCAGGGCTTTGTCGTACTGGAAAAGTTCGCTCCAGAGTAATCCGAGATTGCTCAGCAGAGTTGCAACGTTGGGATGATCTTTACCGCGCCCGTATACATCTTCGCACATCTTCAAGGCTTCCTGGTAGTGCTTCATTGCTTCTTTCTTTCTGCCAAACATATTTAATGTTACAGCGAGATTCATCAGAGTCTGCAACACGTATGGACTACCAGAGCCATATATGGCTTTCCATATGCTCAGTGCGTTTTCGTTATATTCGATCGCCCTCGTGGGGTCACCCATCAGAACGTATGCTGTGGCCATGTTGTTGTACGTACTGGCAATCAAGCTATGTGGAGTTTCTCGTCCAAATGTAGCCTCTGCGATCTCCAAAGCCTGTCGGTGATAACTGATGGCCTTGCGATGATCCCCGATGTGTCTAGATACTATACCTAGATTATTGAAAGCCATCGCTATGTCAGGGTGGTTTGAGATGTCCCCATGGCAAGCGTTCCACATAGCCAGTGCCTCCTGAAAGATTTGTGTTGCTCTTTCATAGTCGCCAACGTTACAACAGCACTCGCCTAGATGATTCAGTGTGTTAGCAATATCTGGGTGATCGACGTTTTCACCGTGGACGCGCTTCAGCATTGCCAATGCCTGTTCCTGGTATTGTAGCGCTTCCTTGTGATTACCTCTCTTAGTGAGAGTAAACCCAATATTTTTCAGGGAGTAGGCAATGTCCGAATGCGGCGAGCCAACTCCGTATATGTCTCGTCTCATTTTTAGCGCTGAAACGTGGTATTTTTGAGAGACAGTGAAGTCTCCGGCACTGTTCCAGGCTAAGCCGAGGTCCGATAAGGCTGAGGCGATGTCAGGGTGATCTGCCCGCTCCCCGTAGATAATTTTCCATGCCCTCAGCGCCTGCTCCATATAGTCAACCCCCCTTCTGTGGTTACTGACCTCAAGGTATGACTCTCCTAGACCTTTAAGAGCGGAGATGACCATAGGGTGTCCCGTGTTGTGGCCATATACAGACCGTATCATTTTCAACGCCTTTTCCTGGTATCTAATCGCTTTCCTGGAGTCTCCAAGATTGGACAGACACCCTCCCATACTCTTCAGGCACGTGGCCAGCGCCAGCTCGTCACCTTTGTGCAGCATTTTTGTCAGACGTAGTTTTTGCTCAAACACGCTCATTGCCTTCCTGAAGTCTCCCTGATATTGCCATGCTTCTGCCAACGAGTCTAGAGACGATTCGATTTCGGGGTGCGAAGCGTCCGGTCCATACATTTCTTCTCTCATCTTGTGTGCTATTGTGAGGTATCCGAGCGCTTCTTTTTTCTTATCCAGTTTAAGCCATGCAGAGCCCAAGTAGCCGAATGCGGACGCAATTTCTGGATTGCAGCTGTCACGTCCATGAACAGCTTTTACTATCCTCAGCGTCATTTGGTAGTAGCTGATGGCTTTCCTACTGTTGCCAAGAACCTTCCATGCTGTGCCTATTTTGCGTAGTAAAGTAGCTAAACTCTCATCTGAAATACATCGTTCATCTAAGTAGTCCAACGCATCCAACTGTTTCAATGGCTCGACGATGTTTAACAGCTGCAAAACCGCGTGTTCATAGTGGCCGATGGCCTCTTCGGCTTTTAGTAACAGCATACAGATACGCGCTTTTACGTTCGGGCCCGCATCAAAGAGAGTCGTTGAACGCAGTCTGCGCAGTGATTCGGGTAAGTGGTCAGTCGAAACGCTTGACAGTAACTTCTTCAGTGGTATAGCTCTATAGTGATATCTGAACAGCATATCGTCGTCGGGGAGGTAGAACACTGACTTAAACGCTACCTCACGGTCACCTGTCTGCCCGTCCGTTGCTATTGAAGGCAGGGCAGACATGGTTTCACATTGTTTTCCGTTGGCCAGATACGTTCTCAGTCGAAGCTCCGCGGATATGCTGACCAACACCTTCAGATGATCGGCGTTCTCTCTGGTCAGTATGCCTGATTCCACCATGTCTGAGATGACTTTCCAAACGCGTCCCGGTTGTAGCCCACAGAGAATGCACAGGCTGTCTATTGAGATCGTAGGAAACCGGTAGATGTCCTTTTTGACGTCTAGTAGCCTTGCCGTCAGTCCTTGCTTGCCGTATCTTTCAACGTCTTTAGCCAGTGTGTCTCCAGCTCGACGGAAGATACTGCTTCCCCGCCTACGAGTGCTTGTCAATGTTTCGTTTACAATCTCAATGTACCTGCCTACAAGACTATCGTCACCTGTTATACAGCACACGTTTCGTAGTATGTCCGACAAATGGTACCCTTCGGATAGGGCGAAGTCCTCTTGCTGAAGTTCGGCCATTCTGCTGGGGCTCCGAATCAGCTCGAGTGCTGGCTTCGCCTTAGTCTTGCCTCTACCTAGTGGAGTTTTACTGGCCCACGGCATGGCTCCGTCAAAGGCGAACCCGCGTGGAGTCACAGAGTCATAGAACCAGTTGTCGGCAGGGTTGCTGGACTCGAAGTCATTGAGAGATTTGATGGCTACCGCTGGAATGATTGTTTCCCCGAGGTTGATAATTTTGAGATGTAAGTAGTGAGTGAGGTGGCGAAAGTACTGCTTGTTTGAGTCGGTATCACAATGTTCGTCCAACAAGATGGTGAATTCCAGGTCAGAGTACGGAGTGACCGTTTCTGTTGCCTGTGAACCCAAACCTGTAACTGCGTACTTACAGGGAGCAGGACCCAACACTTCCATGCATTCGCTCGCAAGGACGCCGACAAACTCCTTTCTACTCTGAGCTATTTCAACGAACAAGCCTCTGATGGCGTCTGCTCTTTGCGATTCAACCCTCGTTCTCGTATGCTGATCTTCGAGATGTTCTCGTAGGTTAAACTGTTGGTCAATTGAATCCAGTCTTTGTTTTACCTTTTCCCGCATTGTTCGTATCACTTCTTTGTGTGCCCTCTCGACATCACTAAGACTAGGCATACAGTTGGTGTGAACTACATGTTTTAGGAAGGACACTTCCGTTTCTTTTAGTTTCTCAGTCAATTCGACTTTGAATGTAGCATCCGCCGCCCTGACCAGTGCACCATTGTACAGAGCGGCAGCTTGGCTGAAGAATTTTCCGTCACCTGTACTCTTACCCTTCGATACGTGGACGTCGCCCAACCGACAAAGGCAGGACGCCTCTTTGGTCATCTCTTCTGGGTTTCCTGAAAATAAGAATAAAAAATGTGAGTTCAGAATAAGTGCAAGGTTGTGACGTGAACGTGTTGAAGGCTTGTGGGCTGTATTTGGATGGGAACACTTGTTACGGAAAGATGTCTACATTGTCGCAGTTTGTTAAAAGATTTGTTGCTGTAGAGGGACTTAGAAACTGCTATTTGAACAGTGTAGCTAGAATTATTATTAGCATTAAAGTAAATAAATATTGACAAGCGATGACACTAACAACTACTATTATGTCAAGTGACGGTGTGTGAAGTGTAAATATTTTTCAGTTATCTGCTCTTCACTCGTATGACCAAGGGAACACGTTTACATTTGTACATATTCTCAATTCATACTTACAGACTGCGCATGTATATCATGCCCGTAGCCGGGGGGGGGT